AAGAATGAAAAGTTAAATACATTATAAATAACAAAAATATATTTTAAGCAGTATTAGCAGAGAATTTTATCAAGGTTAGTATTACAGCCTATAGTTTTTCTAAGRGTTGGAATGGCTAATTGTCAACATTGGGTAAGGCTTCCTGGGTGCTGGGGTGTGGTGAGCTGTTCTGTCATGGCCTTTGGCAGCCTTCACCATCAGGGGTTGTTCTGTGGCTGTATCTGTATTGAAAAAGCTGTTGATTTCTACAGGTYTCCAAGTCTGTATGCACATCTTGCYCATACTGTAGTGCCAGGCTCAGACTCCAGAGCTGTCTGTACCCTGGAGAGCATGGAGAGTAATTGTGGTGTGCCCCAAAAGCTCAGCTGGGACAGGGAGGAGAAGCAGGACCCCAAGCTAATACCTGAAGGCAGATAAGAGACCTTTAACAAAATAGGGAGATGGAGGCTATACAATCAGTCTTGTGTCATTAAAGGATGCTACTGCTGCACTGCCCAAAAGCTGTCTTCTCCTGAGGACAGAACAGAACATGTGAAATTATTGCCAGTGCCCTAAGAGGGGAGGTGGCCAGAGCACAGCCAGGGGTGCTGGAATGCAGCAGCAGCTYGGGGACAGCTCTTTTTCTTCACTTGAGTGTGATGAGAGAACTYGAGGCTGTGACTGCAGTGCCTCAGTAGATCCAAAGGAGGGTYTGAACAGCTGGAGCAAGGTGTCAGGGCAGGAGGAGACAGCTCCTGGGCCTGCCCAGCTCTCCATTCCTCCTTTTGCTGCACAGTGCCGTGCTCCTCCCAGCTGCTGGGCTGGTTCCTGGCAGGGAGGAAGGTGCTGGCCAGAAGCCTCACCACTGAACTGTGCTGCTGGGAATGGGAAGAGCTATAGCAATACTGTAGTCAGTACCCAAGTTCAGTCTTTTGTTCCTGTTTTCCTTTCCCCAGGATCTAATCTATAAATCAGCTTGGGAAAAGACTGGAGATACAAATCAGTGGCTGCTTGTAACATGAAGCCAAATTTRTCTTTTCTATGCAGCGTGAGAAGTTCTCAAAGTACAGCTTCGTTAAAAACCAAATAAAGTTTTACAGAAACACTGCTGATTCTGCTAATTGCACAATCTGGCTCCATCTAGTCCTGAAGAGACTCATCATCCCTGACAATGAGCTAACATCCTTTCTAAGGTTGCCAGTATTGCACAGGTGTTACACTCTTTCCCAATGAGCACTGGGACCTTAAGCGTGATGATATGAAACCTTTAATCGTTAATTGAAAACAAGCAATTTGTCTGTGATCTCAGTTTGACAATCCATAAAATAGTGCTTCTTCAACGACAAGTTAGCAACTCGGTTACAAAGAACAAAGTTTAAACAACACAACAGTTGTATGCACAAAGCTACCACGTCTTTTTTTGTTTTTTAATCAGGAAAAAAATTTATTTATAAAAACGTCTCATTTAACTTACTGTCGAGTCTCTAGCTGAATACAGTGGTTTAGAACACTAACGGCCCATGCTTTTATACAGATTAGCCAAAGCATGAACATCAATGAAAATTAACCCCCAAAAATAACTTGTCTTKGCTTTATGTTATGAACCACAACAGTGTTAAAACTGGAACAGTAATGAAAGCAACACAAGAGTTAGGAAGCACAGTTGCTTAAAGAGTAAAGGAAGTATTTTCTTTTGATGTCTCAGAATAATAAGAAAGTTAGAAATGGCAGAAACTCCTCTGTAGATTAGTCCATAGAAAGCATTGTCTCATGGGGCTTTGGAAAAGTCCTGTCTGGTGGCTAATGCACTAGGGCATGATGAGATACATTACAGAGCCCCCAGGCCAGTAACTTCTGAAGACAGCCTAAAATGTAGGAACAAAAACAAAGAAAAGAAAAGGAAAAAAAAAGGCAAAAAAAAAAGAAAAAAAAAATCTTCTCACTATTAAAAAAATACCACTTGAGTACAACCAGCATAGAACAGCATTTCAGTGCAGGCACGTTTTCTCACACAAAGATTGGTGGTTTGTTTTTTTTTTTTCTTAAATGTCAATTATTGAAACAGTTACAATAGTCCAGAACAATTTTACAGCAGTTTTCTAGAGCTTTCAAATAGCTGTGGTACCTTGACATTATTCCCAGCTTTTCCTTCATTATATACAACCAAA